CGCCTGCCACAGGCAAGGGCCCCTCAAGTGGAACGGCCCCTCACGTGGCCTTGACTAATGGGGACCCCTTGAACAAACGGGGGCCCCTTGAACACATGGGGGCCCCCAACTTAACGGCAAGCTGAACGACAAGGGCCCCCTTGGCTGCACACTTCAGCCAGTAGCAAATGACGAGGAATGGGTCAAATGGATTTCTACAGAACGAGAACCCCCAAATTAGTAAAGAACGCCTCATACATACAAAGCTGGAAAGCCCTGGGGGCCCCTAGGGCCTCCCTGGGGGCCCCTGGGGCCCCCTTAAGGGCCCCTGCGGCCCCCTTAAGGGCACCTAGGGACCCCGTGGGCCTCATTAAGGGCCCCTGGGGCCTCCTTGGGGGCCCCCACGGCCTCCCCTGGGGGCCCCTGGGGCGTCCCTCGGGGCCCCTGGGGTCTCTTCATATGGAAATCACTGGAGCTGAGCCCAAGGCGTGTCCTGTGAAAATGTCGGGCGGTATAATTTGCTGCGACCAGTACACCACGCCCACTGTTCGCCGCAGGCCCTTGCTGCTGCAGCTGCAGCAGCAGCAGCAGCAGCAGCAGCCATCCTCCCGAGACCCCATGCCGCACACCGCCTCTTTCTGCTGCCGCTGCTGCTGCTCTTGCTGCTGATCCCCAGAGGCTGCGTGAACAACAACATCAAGGCAAGACACTGCGCAGTTGGGAGACAGGAAATATGCTGCTTCCTGCTGCGGAAGGTACAGCACGTCAGAGCGGCAGCTGCCCTTTTGCTGCTGCTGCAGCTGCTGCTGCTGCTGCTTCAGGAAGGTGCAGCAGCAAATGCCGGAAGCCGGAGCTGAAACAAAGGCCCGCATGAACATGTCTAGCAGCAGGCCGTGGCCCACCAGCAGCAGCGCACCATCGCCTCGGAGGGCTGCCGTTGCTGCTGCTGCTGCTGCTGCTGCGTTTGTTCCTGCTGCTGCTGAGTCCGACGCAGCTGCTGGCGCCTTTGCTGCTGCTGCTTCCGCGTCCGCTGCTGCTGCTGCTGCTGCATCAGCACACCCCGAATGAGCTGTGAAGCTGTCTATCCACTGCGCCAGCAGCAGCAAACGCCTCAAAGTGCCAAATAAAGTTTCCCGAGGCCCTGACCACCAGGGGCCCCCCTCCTGGAGGCCCCCAGGGCAGTATCCTCCACCGGGGGGCCCCCCAAAAACTGCTGCTGAGTCGCTGGGGTCGCTGCTGCGGCAGCTGATCTCTCCTGAGCTGCTGCTGCTGTTGCTGCTGCTGCTTGTCGAACCTCGGGTTGCCGCTGCTGGTGCTCCTGCTGCTGCAGCTGCTTCTGAAGGCCAAGACACCCCAGGTGCCAGCACAGCCCCAGGACATATTTCCTGCAGCTGCTTCCACGTGAGCCCCAGCTGCTGCTGCTGCTGCTGCTCCGTTGCAGCAGTAGCAGACATGTCCGCTGCTGCTGCTGCTGCTGACCCTGTTGCCTGCCTTTCTCCTTCAAAGAGGCCACCCGCCTCAAAGAGGAGGGGGTGAATTATGACGGGGACATTCAGCTGCTGCTGCAGCTCGCGAGCTGTCTGTACACCCCGCATCATAGGCGACACCACAATCGCTGCAATCCGAGGGCTTGCTGCTCCAGGCTGCTGCGGCTGCTGTTGCTGCTGCTGCTGCCGCTGCAGCCAGGCAGCAGCAGCAACAGCCTGCTGCCGTCCGAGGTCCGTCAGAGGCGCATCTGGAGTTCGTACGCTGCTACCTCCGCATTGATGCTGTTGCTGCTGCGTTTGCTGCTGTTTCTGCAGCAGCTGCTGCTGTTGCTGCAGGTCGGGGATGTCGAGTTTGCTGCGTGAGTTGTTCGATGACTGCGCGTGGCGAAGAAAGTACCATCGGCGCCTTTTCATGGTTCCATCCATCAGTGCTGCTACTGCTTCTGCAGTTGCTGCTGCGGCTGAGACCGCTGCTGCTGGTGGTGCGCAGGGGTCACGTTCAGCCTCTTCAGTGGCCACTGCCGCTGCTGCTGCTGCTTTTGCTCTTATTGTCCAAGCAGCAGGATCTAGTACTGTAAGTAGCTCATCTACCAGTGTCTGTTTTCGCCTGTTGCCACCAGTGTTTCGCTGCAGCTGTCGCCGCTCTGCTGTTGCTGTGACTGCTGCTGCTGTTACTGCCGCTGCTGCTGCCGGGTGTCTGTTGAATTACCGCGACTTCTTGCATCGTTACTGAAACAAACAAATGTACAAAATAATACAAGAATCACCAAAAGCTACTTTCTTTCCAGAACAGCAGCAGCTTCTCCCCGGAGTGCCTGGCCCCCAGAAGATCCTGCATAGGCTACTGCACCGGCTACTGCGCTGCTGTTGCTGCTGCTGTAGTTGCGTTTCCTGCTGCCGCTGCTTCCGCATCTAATGTTTTTGATTCCTTTGATCATTTCTGTTATCCAAAGATTTGCTTGAGCGGCCGTATCTGGCGCTGGCTGCTACATACCAGCGTAGAGACCACCCGTCGCCGACGCCTGCTGCTGCTGCCGCTGCTGCTGGCTTAGCCATTGTTCGCTGATCTTCCTTCCCGCATTCAACTGTTTTCCAGAATGAAGGACTGCAGTGCATTAATGCTTCGATACTCCTCCATGAGCTGCTGCCTCGCCTGCGGAGGCACCTGTTGCTGCTGCTGCTGCTGCTGCTGCTAGAATTGCTGCGGCTGTCTGCTGCGTTAGAATCTTTCGCAGCCGCTTGTGCACTCCTCTGGGGCTCTTAGCTGCAGCTAAGGAGCAGCACGGGGCCAGGGGCCTCTGCTGCGGAGCTGCGGCTTCCGGCCCTACCTGCTTCCTTGCTAAATTTGGGAGTTTGGAATTTCACGAAATAGAATTTTGACATCGTGATGAGGGAATTAAAAGGTAAACATGTGCTTAGGCACACGCGAATCATAGAGAGGCACGCCTCTAGACCAGATAGAAGAAGAAATTGGGAAGGAAAGGGGTATGAGAAAGGCCCAAAAAGGATTTGAAAAGAGGAAAAGGAGAGCCCGAATTGCAAAGACAGACAAAACAGAGTCAATACGAATTAAGGCAGTTGTCTCTTTATGCCATTGATCCTTTTTCTCACTCTTTTTTAATCTGATTCTGAAGACTACAGGGCCATGGCTGTGGCGCTCGCAGGCGGCCGCATGCCGTCCGAAGCTAGTACAGCTGCAGCAGCTCTCTGAGGAGAAGCAAAAGGCTTATTTGCAGGTTTATAGGGTTTTTTAATGCACTTTATTGGCCCCCAGGGGGTACACAGCCCAAAATGCGAGCAAAGTGCCCTGGGCAAAAGGGTTTGGCTCGATATGGCTGCAGGCGCCACATTGTTTATTTGAATAGCCGTAGTTTTGCTGCAGCGTAACAGCAGCTCGACTAGTGTGCAGCCTAGTGCCTGTCCCTTCAGCAGGGCCCTCCCTCTCTCTCCGTAGGCTTCCCTAAATGGGCTTCAAATACCCGTTAGTCCTTCGGTGGGGCTCCTGCTGCTCTCTTGTCCAGAGACCAGACCAGTGGACGAGCCAGTGGTCAGGGAGCTCGCTTCTTTGAACGTCTTGGGCTGCTTTTTGCCCCAGAGTCGATGCTTTGCTGCCTGTGGCTGCTGCTCACTGGGGGCTGGTGTCAGTCAGTGCACGGGCCGAAGATGTGGCAAATACTGCGCGGATTCATCAATTCCTACAGGCCAAATTAGAACCATTTATTGCAACAGTTTTCAGAGCAGTTTTTTGGGTTACAAGTGCCAAAAACGCGGATAAAATATATTCATAGCAGGCACTGCGTTTGTGTGCGTGTCAGTTTGGCGAGGGACAAGAGGCTCTTTCGCCGTCCTCCAATCTCAACTTGGAAGCTTTTTAAATCTGGCCGGATACTAAAAGGCGCAGCAGAAATCTAGGGATAGGCACGTTCTTTGATTTTTGTAATGCTAGTGCGACTCTTGCCACTCTCGCAGGAGGCGCCAAGGAACTCCGCTCTGCTTAGCGACTGCGAAATCAGAGAACCAAATGAAGAAAGAAAAGCGCCAAATTTTTTGAAGAATAATTAAAACGAAAGCTTATATTTTAAATGGAGCATTCAAGTGGGGAGACGCGCCGGCGAGGGTCTTGCAAGTTCTTGAAGCACTAGACGCTCGCAATATGCAACCCAAAGCAACGTCTTTGCTTTTAAATAGAGCTTTATATCTCATATTTTCTCGTTTTGGAAACTTGTTCTGTGTTTGCAGTTTATTTCCGGCAATCGTATTTGCACACCTGCCGTAGCTCCAAAATGACACACACCAGAGCCTCTCGGATGTTCACTTCTTTCGGCTCTTCTTTTGCACTAGCTCTTCCCTCGTTTTAGCAAAAATTTATTTAAAATTTTTGCTTTGCATTCATGCTGGACTATGGATTCAAAGACTTATAAAGAATTCAGCTTGAAACAGTGGGGGACAAGTTGCGTCGCCACCAGTGTGAAGAGCGAGCGCTGTAGTACTCCGATGAAACGGCCTTTTAGGGCTTTAGACTGCGAACAAGAACATTTAATTTGTAAATACAGGTAAATAGAGAAAAGAAACTCAGATTTACAGAAGACCGAGCTAAGCCTCCGCTGGTCACTGTGGTCAGCTGCAGCAGAAGAGGATCCAGGGAAAGAGGCAGTTCGTGCAGAATTGCAGTCACACAGGTTGGTTATCTTCTGCGCGTCAGATTGGACTTAGGAGCAGTCCCTCGAACGCAAATTAAACTTTTTTACTTACCCTTAACAACGAATTAAGTCGAAACTATAAGGGGTGTATTCGAAGCTGTCGATCCGCAAAGCATGTTTACGCATAAGGGTAATTAAGTTAAAACGAGATTCAAATGAGCCAACTTCCCGCTTCACTAAGTGCCTTTTCCGGGGCCTAGTGGCCACCCCAGTGTTCGAAAGAGAGCAAATGCTGCACTCTAGAGGCTCAGCCCCGGGAGGCGAAGAGAAAAACTTGCAGAAAGAAAAAAGTGAATGGCCGGGCTGGGTGTGGCGCTCATACGTCCCGTCGCTGCTACCGCTGCTGATACTCCTTCTGCTTCTGCTGCTGCTGCTGCAGCAGGTGCTCCAGAGTAGCCTTGATGGGCTCTACAACACCCAGTCGCTCTGCTGCGGTTACCGAAGCCTGCAGCTCTGCTGCTCCCACCTCCGGAGGGCCGGACGGGGCCATCTTTTGCTGCAGCACCAGACGCTGGTGGAGCAGGAGCAGCAGCAAATTTCCTGCCTCTCTGTGCCCATTTCTTTCATATCCTGCGGTGCCAGCAGCCCAAAACACGCACAAGAACGGGTGGATATCTCTCGGCAGTAAGCCAGAGGCCGCAAAAGAACGGCAGCAGCAACTGCAACAAACGCAACAGCTGCAGCAGCACCACAACAGCTGCAGCAGCACCACCACCACAAGCACAACCAAGTGCAAAAATGCCTCAGATTTGTAATTCACCTTTAGCTGAAGGAAACTGGAGCCACAAAGACAAAGTGAGACAAAGCTGAGACGCCCGAAGGCGACCGGCTGTGTGCTGGGCGAACAGTACAAGCAGCTGATTCCTAGGCGGCCAATCGGCAGCAGCAGCAGCAGCTTCTACTGCAGCGGAATTCGTTGACGTGGCGGTAGTAGCTGTAGCTACTGCAGTAGCAGTTGGAAAGAGTGCGGCAGTAGCAGCAGCAGGAGGCTCAGTGTCAGAAGCTCTCGGTCCACAGGCCTCCAGCAGCAGCGCAAGCTGAACAAGAGCCAGCACAAGCACCAGCACCCTAGCTTTCGACTCAAAGTGGTGGGTCCTGTGGTTTAGAGCTTCAGAATTAGGGTTTAGGGATTAGGGTTTAGGGTTTGCGCTTTGCTGTTGTGCGGTCCCTTGGCTCGCACCGTTTGCAGGCCTTCGCGCAGACCTCGGACTGCTGCTGCATGCAGCTCTTCCTGGCGTTGCAGGGGCCTTCCTGCTGCGCTGCCATTCGGGCGTGCTGCTGCATCTTCTGTTTCTGCTGTTGCTGCTGTTGCTGCCGTTGCTGTTGTTGCTGCTGCCGAGACTCGAGACTCACCTGGAAGGGAGAAGGCGCGTATTAGGCTGCCAAACCCTAGGACTGCACCGACCACCTCAGCAGCAACAGCGGCAGCCCCGGAAGCAGCAGCAGCAGCAGCAGGCGCAGCTGGTTTGGCGCTGCTGCCACAGCCCACCTGCTGCAGCTTTGCTGCTGCTGTATGCGCTTCATCTTTAAGGTGCAGCAAGAGAGATTGCCCACATTGCAGCACAACAGCAGCAAGCTGGAGATGTGCCTCGCTTCCTGGAACTCCTGAAAGTTGCAGCGAGTGTTTCCGAAGCTGCTGTTGCTGTCGCTGCTCTTGCTGTTGTTGTTGCTGCTGCTGCTCTTGCTGCTGCTGGGCAGCAACACGCCTGGCAGCAGATGCAGCTCGCATGAACAAGGAAGCGTCCTTTGGAACGCATCTGCTTAAGTAGCTGCATAGCAAATTGACAAGTTGCCGCTGCTGTTGCTGTTGCTGTTGTTGCTCCTGCTGCTCTGTATTGAGCATGCCGTTGCCTTGGTTGAGCACCAGCAAATTCCGTTGCTGCTTGAGGCGGCACAAGCCTACTAGCAGCGCCACGCCAATATCAGCCATTTGCTGCTCCAACTCAGTGCTGTTGCTGCTGCTTTTCTTGCTGCTGCTGCTACTGTTGCTGCTGTCACTGCTCTGGTTTCCGAGAGTTCCTAGGCGTATATAGGCTCTCCGAGCTACGCCCAGAAATCTCCAGGCGAGGTCACCGTGGGCTCCAGCTTTAATTTGCTTCAAAGGTGTAGCTGGAAAGGGCAGAAGCTTTTCTGGTGCAGCAGCAGCAGCATCAGCAGCAGCAGCAGCGGCTGTGACAGCAGCACCAGGTTCCGCAACCTTTCTCTCTAAGGCTGCAGCTGCAGTCCTGGTCCAGCGCTCAAGAGCAGCAGCTACGGCTGCAGGCGCAGTGGTTATCTGCTGCTGCTGCAGCGCAGCTGCCAGGATCCGCAGGTGCTGCGGCTCTAGCAGCGCCTGCTGCAGCTCCAGCCACGCCAAAGACACCTGAAGAGACGCAGCAGCCAGAAGCAGCTTCACTCGCCTCCAGCGCAATTTATGTCTGCAGATTATAGCTGCTGCTGCTGCTGCAATATAGGGCAGCACAAACTGACTCAAGGAAACAGCAGCAGCAGTAGCAGCAACAGCAGCACACCTCAAGCAGATTCGTAGTGTGGGGCCCCCTGGCCCTTGCACCAGAAATGCCTGTTGCTCTGAGCAGCGAAGACACAAGCAGAGAGACCTCTCGAAGAGGTAGTGCGTGACCAAGCCCAGCAGCAGCAGCAGCAGCAGCAGCCGTCGTAGTAGTAAGACTTCCGGTCGCCGACACTGAGGCGCCGAATTCGTTGCAGCTGCTGCAGCGCGACTCTTTGCTTCGCAGGAGCTGCTGCAGCAGCTCTCCAGAGAGGGCCTCCAGTGCCATTTGGAAGATTGCTGCAGCGGGTGCAGCAAAGTGACTGGTCGATTTCTCTGTTGTTGCGCTTTCCCCACTGCTCCTGCTGCTGCTCCTGCTGCTGCTCATGCTGCTCATGCTAGGCAGCGCAAAGCCGTCGTCCTCCAGGGTCTCTTCCCCATAAATCTCAGCAGCCCTCCCAGCAGCTAAAGAGAGGCTTGTGCTGCTTCTGCTGCCGCTGCTGCCATAGTAAGTGAAGGGAACAGCAGCAGCTTCTGCTTGGCTTAAATGTGCTGCTGTTGCTGCTGCTGCTGCTGCGGCGCACTTTGCTAGGACCCCCGCAGCAGTCACAAGGCGGGAAGGGCTGAAGCAGCTCCAGGCCTCAGGACGCAGCAAACACTGCAGCAGCAGGGCACATCACAGAAGCAAAAGCAGTAGCTGCAGCAACTGAACATGCGTAGAGCATTGTTGACAGCCGCAGCAACGCATGCTCCAGCACCCATACCAGCAGCAGCAGCAAGCTATGCTCTGTTCGTGCACAGCCTCGTACCTCTGCAGCAGCAGCTGACACTGCTGTAGCATGAGCCTGCAGTGTGCAGCAGCCCCCAGAAGCAGAAGCAGTTAGAAACCCCGATGCGCACTTCAGCACGGAAAGAGCAGCAGCAGCAGTAGTAGCAGCAACAGCAGCAGGCTGTCTCGAAAGCCGCTGCTGCTGCTCACTTCCGTAGGGAATGAGCTGCAGGCTATCTCGTCTCTGCTGCTGGTGCTGCTCCTCGCGTTGCAGCAGCTGCTGTTCCAGCTGCAGACAAAAGCTGGACCTCCTCAGCATGAGGCCTGCAAGCGGCAGTGCCCTCAACGGTGCTGCTGCAGCAGCACTGGCCTCAGTAGCAGCAGCAGCGGAGCCTGCTGCTAGCGAGTCAGCGCGCTGTAGCAGCTGCAGCAGCTGCGCTGTCTGCTGCAGAGATAGCTCCGGAGCAGCAGCAGCCAGCTGCAGCACCAGCTTTTCTAAAAGAGGTCTCAAGCTTTGCAGGCATCGTCGCTTCAGCGAGAGCGCTGCTGCTGCTGCTGTTGCTGCTGCTGCTTGCGTGTCTCCCCCCGGAGCTGCTAAGCTCATTGCGTATTCTGTCGTCTCTGCAGGTACAGTTGCTGCTGTTGCTGATGTTGCTGCTGCTGCTACTGTAGCATCAACTCGCTGCAGCAGCCTCTTGGCCTGCTTCTGCTGCAGCGACGAGCCTAGTATGTAGGCCTGCAGTAGCTGCTCTTGTGGCAGCCTCTTCAGCAGCAAAAGCAGCTGGCAGGTGGACCGCAGCAGCAGCAAAGCTTCTTGTGGGGCCAAGGAGGGCAGCAGCAGCAGCAACTCACTGCTGAGGCAGCCGCACAGGGGAGCCAGAGAACGCGACAGCAGACGGGCAAGCGACGGCTTCGCTCTGATTTTGCCCCCCGCAGCAGCAGCTGCAGGAGCAGCAGCTGCAGCAGTGGTTGCTGCTTCTGCTGCTGCTGATCCGGACGCTGCTTTGCTGGCACCGGCTGCTTCAGTTCCTGCCTTTCCCAGTGCTGCGGCGTCGAATGCTGCTGCAAACGGCACTTCTGTTGCTGCTGCTGCTTTCAACATGGCTGCTGCTGCAGTCGGCTGCGCTGTGTTTGCTGCTCCTGCTGTTGCAGCTGCTGCTGCTGTTTCTATAGCATCAACGCAAGCCACAAACAAGCGACTGAGCTGACGGCAACGGGAGTGCCCATCTTCTCCAGGCTGCTGCTGCTGTTGCTGCTGCTGCTGCTGCTGTAGTGCCCGGACCAGGTAGGTAGAGGCGAGGTGCATGTACACCTCAAGGTCCACAAGGCCAACCCGAGTGAAGGCTCGCAGCAGCAGCGCAACCTCGCTAGCCCTCAGAATCAGTACACGTCGCCGCTGCTGCTGCTGCTGTGTTCGTGTCTGCTGCTGCAGCTGCGCTTGCTGCTGCTGTGTCTGCTGATGCCTCAGCAGGCGGCGCTGCTGCGCGTCAAGGCGGAAAAGGCGAGTGAGTTTCGCAGCGGCCCTCCTAAACACACCCTGAACTGCAGCAGAAGCACCAGCGGCAGCAGCAGCATCTGCTGCTGCTGCTGCTGCCCCACGTTGCTGCTGCAAAGCCACAAAGGACGCTGCAAAAATGTCCAGCAACACTACCAGCTGGCTCGGTGACAGCAGGAGATCCTGCTGCTGCTGGAAAGCTGCAGCAGCAGCAGCGGTGAAGTCGCTGCAGTGGATGCCCACAGACTGCAGCTGCTGCAGCAGCTGCAGGAGCAGCACCTGCTGATGGTGCTGTTGCTGCTTTTGCCGCTGTCGCTGCTGCAGGTGACAGCTAGGGAGCACAAACTGGGCCTCAGTTCTCAGCTGCTGCTCCTGCTGCGTCGCCGGGTGGGGCTCTCGCTGTTGCGGTAGCTGCTGCTGCTGCTGCTGTAACCGCTTCAGCTGCAACTGCCTCTTCTGCTGCTGCTGCTGCTGCTGATGCAGCAACCTCAGAGCAAGCAGTAGTACCTGCTTCATGAACCGCTGCAGCTGCTGCATAGCAGTAGCGGGGGTCTGGGCACGACGGGCATCTTGGAGGCCACGCTGCACTGCAGCACAGGCTACTGCTGCTGGTACTGTTGTTGCTGCTGCTGCTGCTCCTATTGTTGCTGCTGCTGATGCTGCTATTTCAGCCGGTTCTTTTGCTGAGGGGCTGTTGGCTGTTGCTGCCGATATGCTTGATGCTGCTGCTTCGGGAGTGTGCCCACCCGCTGCTGCTAGTGCTGCTGCTCCTGGTTCTGCTGCTGCTGCTGCTGGGTCTACTGCAGGTGCTGCTGCGGGTCGATGCCCTGCCCCCTGCAGCAGAAGGGGCTGCTGCAGCAGCAGGGGCCTATAGGGGCGAGCCAAACGAGCGACGCTCTGAAGCACCAGCACCAGATCCTTCAGCTGTACCTGCAGCAGCTGCTGCTGTCTGTGCTGCAGCAACTGCTGCTGCAGCAGCTGCTGCGGCGCCTTAAGCAGCAACTGCAGCTCCTTTGGGCTGACAGGTCTGTTGCTACTCCTGCTGCAGTGAAGCCGCTCTGCTTCCTGCAGCAGCAGCAGCTGCTGCTCGAACTCTGAAAGCTGCGGCAAAGCATGAGCCCCACGTTCTGCAGCAGTTGCTGCTGCTGTAGCTGTGGCTGCTGCTGCTGTTGCTGCTGCTGTAGCTGTGGCTGCTGCTGCTGTTGCTGCTGCTACTGCTGCGTGTGCGTCACCATGTGGACTTCCCGAGCTCCCTGCACCAAGACACTCCACTTCTTTTGCTGCGCCTAACTGTCTTTGCTGCTGCTCTCTGTTGTTTCTGATGTTGCTGCCGCTGCCGCTGCCTTCGCTGCTGCTGCTGGTGCTCCAGGTGCTGCTGCTGCTGCTGCTGTGCCCTTTGTGCCTGAGTGGCTGCAGGGCTGTGCCGCATAATGAAAAAGCCCCAACTAGAGGCCTCTGCAGTAGTGGGCCCCGTAGGCGGGGAGCGCTGCTTGAGAGCGCCTGCTCCAGGGAAGCGAAGCTCATAAGTGAACCGCAACAGCAGCAGCTGCTGCTGCTTCTGCTGCTGCTTCTGGCGCTGTTTCTGCTGTGACCAATGGTTCAGAGGTTAGATATGCAGCAGCTGATTCTCCCCGTCGTTAAGGGGGCCCCTGGGGGCCCCCGCCTCACAACAGCAGCGCACAGGGTGGCCGCCTGCAGTGCTCCTATTACTCCCTATATCCAGAAAAAATGCATTAAAATTAAAAAGACTATATAAAATAACACACAAAGGGTTTGTGTGAGTCCAAGTTCCCCTCAGACACCTCTGCATGGGGGCCCTTCTCGATGCTGCTGAGGTCCCTGTGCAAACCCCTGCCTCGAAGTGCAAACGTACTTGACTTTCCCTCATTTTGCAGCTGAAAAGTAATTTATAAGAAAATGAAATAACTATAAAGTCTTTTATGTGGGTCTTCACCGCGGATGGAGCTCCCGTTGCTGCGAAGGAACAGGCGCTCAACTTGGCAAAGGCCGAGCAGCTGCAGCTAGCAGCAGCGGCAGCAGGCGTGGTACTATCAGCAGCAGCAGCAGGCGTTGTGCCAGCAGCAGCAGCAGGCTCCTTTCTAGCAGCAACAGCAGCAACAGCAGCTGCAGCAGCATCACAGCTGCTGTTAGAGCTAAAGTATACACCTAGAGTTCCTCATTGCTGCTTGAAGCTGCTGAAACTGCTGCTGCCTCCACAAGGAAGCTTTGCTGCTCTTTAAGGCAGCAGCACAGGCCCCCAGCTGCTGCTGGCTGCTGCCTAGGCCTGCTGCCTCAGCTGCAGAGACCCAGCGGTAGTTAGCTACCGTAGCGGCTTCTAAACCCTAAACCCTAAATTCTAAACCCTAAACCCTCGAGCCTAAACCCTGAAGGCGAGGCTCAGGTCCCTGTGCATGCGCTAGACGTGCCTGCGAGGTCTGCTCACTGCAGCGCTGGAGCTGTTACTGCTGCTCAGAAGCGCGAAGCAGCAGCATCCCCAAGAGCAGCAGCAGCAGCAACAACAACAACAGCAACAGCAGCAGCAACAGCTCAGCAGCATTGTTTTTTCCCGGTAGCTCTTTGCCGAAGATTGAAATGCTTCATGCTGGTACAATGTGATGTCTCTGGGGCTATAAAATCCTTGAAAACCAGCAAGAACTCCCTAGTTTAGCGTTTACGATTTACTCTCTAGGGTTCAGGGTTTTGCGAGGGTTTAGCGAGGGTTTAGCGAGGGTTTAGGTAGGGTTTGGGGTTTGCGAACAACCAGCCTAGCCACAGCCCTGAACCCCACAGGGGGCTTCAAAGCCCCCTGTAGGCTCTGGGGGTCCACGGCAAGCCGAAGCTGCTAAACCCTAAATCCTAAACCCTAAACCCTAGGGCTGTTATCTACTTCCTGCTGCCTCCAGAGCTGCGAAAAAAAGCAAAAACCCTGGGGTTTAGGGTTTTGGCAGTTCAGGAGAAGCCACGGAGGCCAAGCTGGCGCTGGTCTCTGCTTCCCCCAGAATGCCTCTGGCAGCAGTTTAGCTAGGCAGCAGTATAGCTGCGTTGCTGCTGCTGCTGCTGCGGCCGTGGGCTTGGTGGCTAGCTGCCTGGATAGCCAGCCAGGCCTGGGGAGCAGGGGGCTTGCTAGCTAGCGGGGAAGCCTCAGCAACCGCTTGGCTAGCCAGTGTGTAGATCTTGGCTAGCTGGGATATGTGGGGCCCTGCGCCCCCCAGCAAAATGCCCCATAAGACTGTGCAGCACTCAGTCTGTACTTTGCTACAGGCCCCTGCTGCAGCTCCAAGGCCATCTGGCCCGCTTCAGGGAGCAATGTCGGGGCTGCTGCCTCTTGCTGCGCAGCAGCTGCAGCAGCAGCAGCTGTGAAGTTGCTGCAGCAGAGCTTATTTCACGGCCCAGGCACGCATGGGCCGGCTTATTCTGGTGCTCCCTCAGCACTCTGCAGCTGATTAAAAGCTTCAAAAAGATCCACTGACTTTGCCACAGGCAGCCACTGCATCTTTTCCGCCGTATTTAGTGCTTAGCTCTAGTGTTTAACTTCTCAGGTGGTTCCCCCCCCCGCCAGACCCACCTGTCCACGCTCTTGCTGCTGCTGCCAGCAGCAGTTAGACACGGCCGCCCCGCAATTTGCTGTAGCCACTGCAGCAAACTCCTACAGCAATTCTGTGCATATTTTAAAGCTGGCTTTCTTTGGGGCATCTTTTGGTCGCCATTGCATGCACGCAGGGGCTGAGCGGGCTGCTGCCGGACCATTGGTGCGGCTGTGGGCAGCTACCGGACTGTTGCTCCGTGTCTTCGCACCATTCGCCTTGAAAACAACTCAGAAAATAATTAAAAGTACTCGGTTAGTGCCAAACTAAAATTTCGTTCGGTGGGGGGGCTGCAGCTGCAGTAGCACCATTTGCAGCCGGAGTAGGAAAAGGCTGCTGTTGTTGGTGCCGTTGCTGCTTGTGTTGCTGCATTTTCTTTGCGTCTGCTTCTTTGCACAGGCTGTGAGCTTTTTAAGGGATGTGCAGACATTAAATTCAAACTAAAATTTAATGTCAAAACGCGACAGACAGGGCAGAGCAGCGGCCCCGTTGTGGGGTCACTTCCGGGCAACGCCGCCAGGAGGCTGGGCGTTGCGGGCGAGTGTGCGTGGGTCGATTTTCGCTCTTGAGTTTCTCTTTAGACTTTATTAGTCTGTAGAAGGCCAGAAAGCACCATTTTGTTGGTTTTGGGGCAATGGACTCGGCTGCAGGCGACGCTGGGGCAGCCCGAGCAGCGCCGGGAGCAGCAGCAGGAGCAGCAGCGATGCAAGACGCGCAGCAGGGGCCCTTCCAGCGGCTTCTAGGCTTCCTGTCGAAGGACCTGAGGGCGTCGATGGCGCTGGAGGACTCGGGAGAGCCTCCCGCGAGCGCTTCGCCTGCGGCCGCGCGCCCGGGCGCAGCAGCAGCAGCAGCAGCAGCAGGAGCCCCCGGAGGCGCAGCAGCAGCGGGAGGCGGCGGGGCGGGGGAAGTGTGCGTGGACTGGGGCTCTCTGTGCAGGCACTTGGCCGAAGACGCGTTTGCAGCGTGCTGCGCGTCGCTGAGCATGTCACCACTGGTCATGCTGGTGGACCGGGCCATCGTGGCGAGCACCACTGGGGGCGGGGCGCTGTCTGCGTGCCTGCGGCGGGGCCTCTCTGCTGCTGCGCGCCGCCCGCTCGCGCTGCTGCGCAGCCAGGGCTTCCAAGTGGTCTTTGGGGTATACGCGGGGACTTACATGGCGGCCAACGCCGCAGAAACCATCAGCAGCGCCGTGGGCAGCACGGCTTCTTTGCCCAAACTGGCCTGCGCCACTCTCTGCAACATTTTCCTTTGTGTCCGCAAAGACATCA